TCCGGATGCTCTTTTGTTGCCAGTTGAGGGAGTCCAGGTGGTTGAGTATCAGATTATTCCATCTCATTTCCCTTTGGGGTTGCTTTAGGTGATCTGGAAGTCTGTTTTTGAGGCTTGTTTACATATCTTCTCATTTCCATGGGTAGAGGCGGTGTTCTGGCACCCATGCGGCTCACCTTCTCTGCCCTAGGAGTGTGGAATGGTGGCGGGGGATCCTCTTCCTGGGTGCTGGGACTGGCTCACCTTCTCTGCCCTAGGAGTGTGGAATGGTGGCTGGGGAGCCTTTTCCTGGGCACTGGGATTGGCTCTGTATAACAGTTTTTGAAGTATGCCCATTTTCACTATATTGTTTCTGCCTATCCAAGAACAAGACAGGTTCTTTCTGTGTAGCTAAGGCTGACCTTGAACTCACTATGTAGCCCAGGCTGGCCTCAAACTTGGCCTCAGTCTTCTGAGTGATGGGTTTACAGGCGTGTACCACCATGTCCAACAGGAGTTCTGTTATATGATGACTGTTGGTGCTGAAAGTAAAAATAATCAATTATTGAAAGCGAGAGGTTGAACTCTGAGACTAGGTATTTGTGTTGAGAACACAAATTTGGGTTGGGCACTTGCTCCCAAATCTTCAGTGCATACTTTCTGTATTAAGATAAAGCAGGGAAATTTGCATAATGGATAGCCTCTACCTCTGGGGCACTTACAGTTTATTTAAGAGGGAAAATATTTACATCTACTAAGATGAGGTAGCAATTTGAGTTGCTTCCATTTGAGTTGTGAGGCAGGGGAAACCAGATGTTTTGCACACATGTGCTAGGCTCAGGTCACAAGCATTTGTGCTAAATCTTGGTTTAATGAATGACTAGTGCTTCAGAGGAGGGAGCTATCAATGTGAACTAGTGAGGTCAAGTCAGGTGTGGCGGTAGATGTGGACTGTAGGCCTTACAAGATGGTGAGACTTGGGTGGGTGAGGGAGTGAGGTGGAATGGGTTTGGGATGGATGGTAGCCACTAGTTTGTGAAGGGCCTTACATAGCACAGTGAGGAGTTTGGGTTTGCCCTTGATGATGGTAATAAGGAGCTACTGTAGAGCATAAGAGGGGCTTAACAGAAACAATACTTATTCTTTTCTATATGTGGGGTAGTTTGGCACCGCAGAAAAGCCCTATAAACCTTTGTACTGGGGGCATGTGAACAAGAAGCAGCAAAAGGGCGGGGATTTAGCTCAGTGGTTCTGCCACCTGCCTCACAAGCGCAAGATACTGAGTTGGATCCCAGGTACAAAATAAAAAGAAGCAGCAGTATTGTTACATAGAGGCCAATTTGTATTGCAGTAGGAAATTAAAAGAAAATATATTACTAGAACATGTTTTCCCTTTGTCACTTTCTCAGAAGATTTTAGCTTTGTGGCTGAGGACTGGGGATTAGGATGTTTAATTTTTTCTATCAATACCTTCTGGAGTTTCTTAAACCATTTACTGATGTAAAGCTGATGTAGAGACAAAGTATGGATTATTATACTAGATTATATTAGATTGAGTCATATGTAATTTCTGCTTCAGTCAAAGTTATAGAACTACTGGTAATTTCATATGGTTCCATTTCATTGATTTTGCAAGCAGAGTTGTTGGAGATGAATAGATGCAGTTGATCTTTGGCTCTCTAGTTAGGTTGATTGGGATGGAGACCAATACAATGCTGCTACGGTCAGCCTGAAAATACCCAATATGCAGTAGTCCTGGGGGATGAGAATGTTCCTGGAGACTGAGCCCATGGCCCAGGGAATGTGCTGTTTCCCCTTCTCATCATGTTTGCTTTCCCTGCTTATGAACCAGGCATTCAGAGTATCCTTATTTTTTCCCCTTATTTATAAAGCAGCAAACTTTGCTGTAGAATAAGAATTTTAAAGGAGGATGGAAGGAATGTAAAAGAGAGATTAAAAACTGGTAATACAAAGGCTGCGTTTTCCTGAAAGTCCCCAGTAGTTTAATGCACTCAGAATTGAGAGTACCATTTCTGTAGGTCTCAGTGGTGCTGGTGGAGGTGAGGGACTGAATTCTCACTCTTGCCAAGACCAAGGAGGGTTGAATGAGTTCGGGAATGCCTGGGCAGTGGATTGAGCATGCCTGATGTTGGTGTGGCAGAGACTGAGCTGTTCTGTTTTCATATTATTTTTGACTTTATCCTGGGATGAGAGTTCCTCTTATGGAGCCCTGTTTTGGTTAAGCCATGAGGTGCTACAGGTTGTTCTAACCATGAGAGGTCAGGGCAAATTTTAAGGTATAGTCTGCTGAAACTGGCCTAGCCATCCCAAGAGCACATCTCCTCTTTCTCCCACCCCAACCCTGGGCACCACTGAGCCAAATCAGCCATTATCACATCCGGACTTGACAGCTCCAGTGTTAGGAATTTTGAGGCCACTGGTCTCATCATGGCTTGCATCTTTGTCCTCCTAAGTCATCACACAATATGCAATGCCCATCAGTATACTGCTTTATACCTCCCTGAAATCCCATTCAAGACCTTTCTGTGGAACCTTCCTGAACCTTGTTCTGTGTGTAACGCTGCAGCAATCTTAATGTAGTCACTGAGTGCTATGTCCTCCTGGTTCTCCCCTGAGAATCCTCCTGCTCATTCTTTTCTAGAATACAGAATGTTTCTTTATGAGGGACTATGCATTTGGAAGGTAGGGCTCAGAATTTAGATTCTCAGGGCTTCTTCAGAACTATTATTTTTCTTTTCTCCTATAATATTCCCTTCTAGGCTTATATCATCCAGAAATTACTGTATATATAGCATCCTGGTCATATTTCCATGTTACCAGCATCTTCTGCTCCACCTTGAGTTTTACGTTCATTTCTGATCACCTTGGTAGCCATAACGACAAACTGTTCAGACCCATACCACGGTTCCTTGTTCCCTCTACTAGGGAAGCCTCTCCACCTCATCTAGTGTTGAAGGCTCAACTCAACTCTTGTCTTCTGAGCATTCTGGGTTGCTCATTCACTTGGTACTTTATCTGATCTGTCTCTTGATCCCTCCAAGTTTTCCTACTGGGTTTGCCTTCCTCTGGCCTCAACCAACTGTTGATCCCTGGATCTCTGTATTTTTCCTCACCTCTGATTAGAGAAGCTTTAGTCTGAGATACTGGCTAAGATACCTTTTTTTGTCCCTATGTCATGTCTTCTCAGAGAAAATGATTAAGACCTCATTTGCTTAGTTTGACAAATATGCATCAAGGATGCTATGCTCTATGAAGAACCAGAAAGAGAATGAATGAGACCAGCAGCCTTTTGCACACACGTTTGAGTTACCTTCCATGGTACCATTCCTCAATTCCTCGATGCAGGAAAAGCAAACTAATATCGCTACTGCAGATCTCTCTCAGCTATCTCAGACAAAAGTGGAGACAGAGCAGTTTGAGAGATTGTGAGAATAAAAAAGCTAACAGATATCCATAAATAAATCCTTTAGCTATAAACATGGTTGTTAAGCTCATAAATTTGTGGTGTGTGGGAAGATCAGTACCAGCCACTACCTTGTCATCTGATATGACACCTGTGCCTAGATGGAAATCTTCTCAGAACAGATTGTACATTATAATTTAAAAACAAAACAAAACAAAACAAAACAAAACACCATTCTGTGTGGATATGCTGGACCAAACTGCCCATCCTGGGACAATTGGAGTTTCTGTTACAGTTGATTCAAATACATCTATAAATAATTACTTTTAACTTATTTTATAGGAAACTTAAATTTTAGATTCCTATGTGCAGGGTATGATATACAGAGCTGTAGGGTAACTTTAATAATTCTTAGCCCATGCTCATGGTTTAGCTGAGTTACATGTTCTATTTTTTTTTTAGATTTTCTTTCTTGACTTAGATAGAAATTGGAGAAGCTGAACCACTTAATTCTGGCTGGTACAGTTGATCGGGAAATGCAAAGTCTTATTTTATTCATGCACATTCTTATTATTTAAACTCTAAACATCAAACTTTAATCTAACATTGGTTACTTTATTTTTTTCCATGAGAGGTATTGCACATGCTAAACAATATTCTGCTGCACTCCCAACCCTTTCTTTATTTTAATAAAGAGATAAAAAAACCAATCTACACTTAGATTGAAACAATGTTCACCTTTATTATGCCAGCCTCTAACGCAAGAGAGAAATACCCACTGTATTTGGTTTGTCTAGCAGTTCTTCAGATGCCAGGTGAAGCTGTGCACAATAAATTTCAACTTTATGAATAAATTATGTCACTAATTAAATGAATTATAATAAAAATAGATATTAAGATTATAAATGCAGTACTGATAACTGGCAATTACTGTATGTGTCCTTACTGTGTGTGAGGCGCTCTGTTAAGTGCACTATAATCACTTTCTTATTTATTCTTCACAAAACTCTGGAAGGAACATATCATCATTTCTACCTTATGGATGAAACCACTGAAACATAAGTGATTTGTTCAACTTGGTGGCCACTCCAGAATTAAAATCTAGGTCTGTCTCAAACCCTGTAATCATAATCTCTTGCTATATTGTCTTACCTTGAATGAATTAAAGTATTAGCCAGGAAAACTCTTCTTGGCAAAGAGGTGGGTAAGATCTGAGTCCTTTAAAATTCCAGGATGTTCTCGCTCCATGTTGTTTCAGAGATACTTGAAGCTCAGCTTCCTTTGTGTTCACTGAATCAGGCCTTGCCTTGAGCAGGCTCCCAATGCGTGACCTATCTGGGTGGGGTGTGTGTGTGCAAGGCTCAAGGAGCCAACCTAGACCAATGCTGACTGTTCTGTACTGCAGGTCTCTCATTAAGGAGACTGGGGATCAGATCACAAGTATAAAGCTCCATCATTTCAAGCAGAGCTACAGAGACCATACTTATAAACTGTAATAGCAGACTAGTAATCTTTAGTAAAGTTTGCTAAAGCCTTTTGTAAATGGGCTCTTTGAACTCATCCTGACTTATATTCCATTGTCTTTTTCCTGTTGTAGGACATCGAGGCCTATGTGACAATTCTCTAAAATATTTAAGCTCTAAAATCACAGAGCGAAAGCTACAGGGCACCTGGCTGCCTGCTGGCCGAGGGAATCTAGAGAAACCACTCCCAGGCTCTCGTGGCTCTGTTGTGCCCATGTTCAGCCCTCAGAATGGCCTTCAATCAGTCCATTCTGAGAACAGCCCACTGAAGCCCAGGGTTGTGACTGTGGTGAGGCTGAGTGGGCAGCCCCTCCGTAAGGTCACCATGCTCCTCAACAGGCGGTCAGTGCAGACATTCGAGCAGCTCCTAGCAGACATCTCAGAAGCCTTGGGCTTTCCAAAATGGAAGAATGATCGTGTGAGAAAGCTGTTTAACCTCAAGGGTAGGGAGATCAGGAGTGTCTCTGATTTCTTCAGGGAAGGGGATGCTTTCATAGCTACGGGCAAAGAACCCTTGACATTGAAGAATATTCAGATGGCCATCGAGGGACTATATCCTAACAAAAACCGAGCCCTGACCTTGACTCAGCATAGCCATGCCCCTTCTCCAAGGCTGAGAAGCAGACTTTATAGCAAGGTTCTGAAAGGGGGCCACCACTGTGGGGAGATTGGGAGTGGCAGTGAGTCTGCCCAGAGCAAAGCAGTCATCAGGCATCAGGGAAAGTCCCCCGTGGAGCCTGCGCTGGAAGACAAGGTGAGGGCCTGGAAGAAGTGGGTGAGGGGAAAACAGGAGCCTGAGCCTGGTAGCAAGCTACCCAAAGAAACCACTCTGGAGGAGAGGCATGCGAGTGGAGAGAAGCACCTGGGGTTGGAGATTGAAAAGACTTCTGGGGAGATTGTCCGATGTGAGACATGCAGAAAAGAGCAGGAGTGCCAGCAGAGCTTGCAGAGGGAGAGGCTCTCTCTGGGGACCAGTGAGCTGGACATGGGCAAGTGCCAGAGGTATGATGTGGAGAAACTGGTGAGGGCAAGAAGCTGCAGGCGCTCTCCCGAGGCAAACCCTGCACGTGGTGGGGAAGGATGGAAGGGTGACAGCCATTGGAGCAGCCCCAGGAATCCTGTTCAAGAGCTGAACAGACCCAGCAAGAACACAGACAAGAAAGAGAACAGAGACCCAGAGAATCAAGCCAGCCATCTTCAGGGAGCAGCCACGACCAAGAAAGAGCTCATTGAAGTTCCTCCAGTGACAGAGGAGGGTCCCAGGGATATGAAGAAAGACATCAGGCATGTTTGCAAGAACAAGCATGGTGCCCGTCTTCTGAGAGAGCACCAGACTGAGCTGGATAAGCTCTCTAAAACCCAAGGGGAAGAAAAGGAGGCAGAGAAGGAAAAGAAGCCTGGTGTGTCAGGTGTGTCAGGAGGGAGGAGGATGACTGTCAGAGATGATACCCCTGCAAGGGTAGAGAAGGAGCCTAAGACCAGGCCAGAAGACAGCAAGCCAGAACGGTCCAGCAGCCGGAAGCTGCGGCCCACCGGCATCATCGCAGCAGATGTGGAGAAGCATTATGAGACTGGCCGGGTCATCGGGGATGGGAATTTTGCTGTGGTGAAGGAGTGCAGGCACCGTGAGACAAGGCAGGCCTACGCCATGAAGATAATTGACAAGTCCAAACTCAAGGGTAAGGAGGACATAATTGACAGCGAGATCTTAATCATCCAGAGCCTCTCTCACCCCAACATAGTGAAACTATATGAAGTATATGAAATGGAAACAGAAATCTACTTGATCATGGAGTATGTGCAGGGAGGGGACCTTTTTGATGCCATCATAGAAAGTGTGAAGTTCCCCGAGCCCGATGCTGCCCTGTTGATCATGGACTTATGTAAGGCCCTTGTTCACATGCACAACAAGAACATTGTCCACCGGGACCTCAAGCCAGAAAATCTCTTGGTAAGTCTTTGTTGCTATGGAAGAGGGTATTTTTAAAATATGGGCTAAAATAAATATTAATTGCTTTGTACTTTACATGCTAGGATATCACTTTATGCATTATTTTAACATACTTGTTCCAGTATTTAAAGTTTTGGTTACAGTTCATCACCATTTTGACTAAGTTATTGAAACATAAACCTTCTAATTTAAATGAAATGGAAAATGTTTCCTCATCTCTTGGAGAAAAATATGTCCCTCTTCCTCAAGTTCCAACCCAAGGTCTTGGGCATGCCACACAGGAGCTCTAACACTGGGCCACATCCCCAGTCCGTATCTTTCTTTTGATGCTGACCATGTGAAGTTAATTTCTTGAATACTTGCACATCCTCTGGCCTAGGTATTAGGGGGGGTCTACTGATGGTGGCTTCCTCTCTCCACCTTTGTTTACCATCTGCCTTCTCACTGAGACCCTTCCTGGTGCCTTTTTAAAGATAATACTTTGCCGAGGAATTTAAAAAGTGCAGCCCTTCAGCATCCTGTGTGTGGAGTGAAGGAATGGTGCTGGACTCACATACTCTGTGTTCGAATCCTGGATTTCTTAGATACTTGCTCCAGGATAAGTCCTTCACTATCTGAGCTTTAGTTTACTCATTTCAAAGAAAAAATAGTAATAGTAATCTTGGGAGCTCAAATGCAGATTAAACGTGGGAAAGCAAAGCAGCCCCTAATAGCAGGAAGCCAGCCTGATACATAGAGTTCAGCAGTGGCATTCTCCTACTGGACAATTTCATGGAATACCAATGTCTGATAGGGCCACTCTGTGAAAATGATGGATCAAGACAAAAACAAGGCACTTTTATAATGTCCAAATGCATATAATAACAAGAGTATCATTTAAATCATTGCTTTATTCTTATCCTCAAATAAGAATTGATTCTCAATCATAGAATTACTCCCACTTCCTGACATTATCATGACAAACCTGTGCTTTCTTCAACTGCCCTCAAATCATCTATAATAGCCCAGATTTTATAACAAGTCCTTTGAACACTGTCTTACCTAGATACCAGATCCTAGTGATGTGTCTCCTGATGATTGCAAGTGCGCTCCTAGTGGTCTTCATCAGGACCTCACCCTGTCACCACCTGGAATCTTTATCCCACTTTATTATAGCTCCTATCACCATCTGATACATTCTATAGTTACTTTTCTGTCTTTCTTATCTCACTGGAAAGAATGTTCCATAACAGCAGGGACTTTGTTTTATTCAGACCATACCCCAAAACAGAACGATTTTGTCACATGGTAAACATTTAGTAAACATTAGTTGGATGAATAAGTAAAGACTATAGCATGCTGTCTGGGAAACAGCAAGCATTCCATCAGAGGCAGCGGCTGTCATTATTATTACATTAAAAACAACTCTGATATCAAGGTAGCTATTGCGAATAAGCACTCAAAGGCAGATTGCTGCAGACAAAGCAATAATGAATGGAGACCACGATTTCAGTGAGCCATGTTAGGTGTAGCAAGTTTAGCTGATTTCCTTTCATTTCCATGGCTCTAGACCCACCCTGCAAACATCATCCGAGTGCACTCATCTGTCTGTGAACTGCTCCCACAAGCGGAGTGAAACACAAAGCAAGGCAAGCTAATTATCTGGCAAAATGAGGTATACGTTGATTAAGTCAGGCAACCTGTTTTTCTCCAATTTCATAGAATTGGAGAAGCAATTTGGCTTGTTGCCTGAGTGGTCTGAATTACTCTGAAATAACACTCTCTTTGTAAATTTAATTTTTGCATTAGCTGGACTTCTTTTCCTTCTTTCACTCACTTTTTGATTACTTCTGTCTTTTGGAGTTGCGCTTAAGTGTTTTCCAGGTATGATGTGCTTATACTGTTTATTATGTCTGCTTTGGAATTGCAAATGGGGAAGTGTCTTTAGTGAGTCTGCTGTTTGTACTGAATTGTTTCAGCAGAAAAGATTCAGATAAGAGGACTGAATAGGCCCTATGAGCTGAACGTTTTGGACATCTGCCTACTAAAACATTCTAAAAGTTATACCCTTTTGGAAACTTATGGAATTAGATCATTTCCCCTAAAGGACTGTTTCCTTTTGGGAACAGTTAGCTTAGCTTATGTTTTCTAACAAAGTACTAGAGCCAGTCTGCTGCTTGGTTCATCTCCTGGCAAGAGCTGCTCTCACTTGTATGAAGAGGCTTACTACCAGCAATTTTTGAATGGAGAACCAGCCCCATGTTACATGATATGGAGAAGTTTGCTCAAGGAAGTAGAAATCTTGCAAGGAACATATTTGGTATGGTCAAACTGATGGCCTCTGAAAAGTTATTTGGCAATTCTTCATGGATTTAAATATCAGTATCTGTGTGCTTTGATGCAATAAAGTGCATGTGCATGTGTATGTGATACGGTGCAGCAAATTGCAGAGTAGCTTTAATTTTTAAGTCCCAACATATGAGTTGCATTATTTGTATTGATTCTAATTAACATTTAAATCTTTTGCTTTTTCCTGATATTGAAGAAAGCCCACCTTTTTTTCAAATAAACTTTTTTCTTTTATGGTGGTCTGGCTTCTTGAGAACAGAAAGCAATCCTTTGTACAATAGATTAATGTATTAGCTCTTCTGTGGTTAATTCGTCAGCTTGTTTTTATCAATATGGACAGGCATGTCACATTTATAAAACATGTTTGTCCTTTTTCTTGGTGAAAGTTCAACAGATTGTTATGTCAGGAGTCTAAATGTTATTGAATGCTTGGTTTCAGACAGAGAAGAAGATAATGTTAGGTTTGACAATTGTCTCATTTTCTGGGTTTAGAAAGATGCCATCTCTAAACTCACTGATGTGATAATTGCATTGCAAAGTTGTTTGGTCTTCTAAGATTTAACATTAATAAATATCTCTATGGTGGACTACTGGCCATTCAATTAATTAAATTAATATTCAATTAATATTCTTCAGTTTCCTTAATTTGTATTGTCAAACAAAAATTTTTCCCTTTAAGGAATGCGTGCAGTTTCTACTAGGACTTGTCTTTGCTAAGCTGAGGAACTTGTGATTATGTTAAAACTAACTTTCATTACATAGCTGATTTAACTGTTGCTGCTTTTAGAGACTTTTTGAATGTACTAAGAGTTTTAATAAATATAATGAGTTTATCATGTTTTAATCAACAGAAATATTTATATCTGATAATTAAGCCCTAGAGCAAAATTCCAGGCCTATACCACCAAGTTCATCTGTTTGTATTGATCACATTGCCTGATAAGATGTAACTGTTTTTCCCTAAGGTTTATTTAAACTCCTGAGATCTTGAAAAAAGAAATTTTAATTATGAGAATTTCCAGCTTGCAGAAAGATCGATGTTAATTGCTTCTTCTACCAGTATGTGTTTCCCTGGAGGTGTTGGAATATGCTTTGTGATACTGGCTGGGCCCTGGGGAAGGAGGAAAAGGAGCAAACAGGAGCCAGAAAAGTGATGATCAGACAAGCTCACACTGGGGGATAAGAAGTGGACAGGCCAGGCTATTTATAATGAATGCCAGAAATATTGTACCCAGCAGTGAAAGCTGGGTAAGTGGGCTGGGAGAAGAAACTGAAGAGATGAGCAGAATTATTTGAGAAAATCTTCTCCAGAATAAGAGGAAGATGGGTAGGATCTCAATCTCAAAACAGGGCTGAAAGGAATGATGTGGTGGGCAGGCTGATGTCCCTTAACTAACTTAGAGACACAGTGTTAATTTCCCCAATTCTTATCCACTACCCCCAGTGCAGGTGCTACAGCCCTGTAGTATTTGGAGCAGAGACCCTCAGAATCCAGGAGAAATGGTGGGGGTTGTGGGGACAGCTTGGTTGAGGACAAAGGTGGTACCCCTTTTGGTCTGGGGAATAGCAGATTTATCTAGATGTTTCGCTACTGAATATGGAAACTCTAGAAGGATGAAAAACAGCCAAACAGAGCCCTTGCCCACTTCCCTTTAAAGTAGACCAGTTTAATCATTTTGTTGATCTTAATTTCCTAAATTCTTTGATACACAAGATGGGTTCAATGATTATTGCTGGTAGTGGTTCTGTAATACATAATTTTCCCTGATGAGCAAGACTTCTCTTCTCTTCTACCAGCTCCAATTTCAATCTCCATTCCCCTTAGCTTCTAAGACAAAGGTGTCCAAGTATTAATGATCCAAATAGTCATGAATGTATTTATATGCCATTCACATTAATTAAAAATTGAAAGTAACTACAAAGCATATCTTGTTCGGTGATACGAACAAGAATTTCAATATCATGAAATCACTAAAGGGCTGGGGATTTAGCTCAGTGGTGCTGCTGCCTGCCTTGCAAGCAAAAGGTTCCAAGTTCAATCCCTGGTACCAAAAAAAAGAAAAAATAAAAAGACATGAAATCACTAAAGAAAAAGGATGATGACATAGGTCTTTATTTTAGGTCATTTAGTTTAAGTTACGGCAATCTCTTCTTGTCCTCTTAATGCTTTTTTAAGGGAGTGTTTTATTATGAGCCATTTGATGATCTAAGATTAAGTTTCTTAAGACTCTTCATATTGAAAATGTCTGTACTCTGAGAAAGCAGCTCAGTAAATCCCTTCTTCAGGTCTCCAGGATCCAAGGTCTAGTTATCTAATTGAAATTATGATGGAAACTTCAGGTTCAGTTTCATCTTCTTGCAGAAGTCTCATGTGCTATAGGTTACATGAGGGTAAGGAGCCATGGTAGCAGCAAAGGATGATAGTAGCTTGGTCTTGAGGAGTGCAGCGGAGGTAAATAGGGAGAATTGATTGGCCTAAGGGTAAAGGCAAGACTTGCCAATGGATATGTAGTTGATAAGGAAAGTGGACTCAAGAGTGATTGGTGTTTCTGGCCTTCAGCTGAGTCAGTTGTGGACCCATCTTTTTAATGGAGGAGGGTGATTTCAGTGTGATTATGGGAAGAGTGTTTGAGGTCAGGATTGAATGAAAAGTGGAAACTAGGTGGTGTGTA